ACCTTTGGATACAGTAAGAGTATGACGATGATGGTCACAGAAGTCTACCTTTGGATACAGTAAAAAGTATGATGATGATGCAGTCCCTTTGGATACAAGTGAGTATGACGGTAATTGATTAAAGTCTACCTTTGGATACAGTAAGCTGTGGTAAGTGGTCTTACCAAGTCTACCTTTTGGATACAGTAAGAAACAGTATTAATTGGTCTGCAAGAGTCTACCTTTGGATACAGTAAAATTATGGCAGTAGTGGTCTGCAAGTCTACCTTTGGATACAGTAAGAAATATGACAGTAGTGGTCTGAAGTCTACCTTTGGATACAGTAAACTATGACAGTAGTGGTCTGCAAGTCTACCTTTGGATACAGTAAAATATGACAGTAGTGGTCTGCAAGTCTACCTTTGGATACAGTAAAATATGGAATTAAGTGACAGTAGTGGTCTGGAAGTCTACCCTTTGGATACAGTAAAAGTATGACAGTAGTGGTCTTTGAGGTCACTTTAGATGTAATATGACAGTAGTGGTCTGCAAGTCTACCTTTGGATACAGTAAGTATGACAGTAGTGGTCTGCAAGTCTACCTTTGGATGATAAAAAGTATGACAGTAGTGGTCTGCAAGTCTACCTTTGGATACAGTAAACTATGACAGTAGTGGTCTGCTAAGTCTACCTTTGGATACAGTAAGTATGACAGTAGTGGTCTGCAAGTCTACCTTTGGATACAGTAAGTATGGCAAAACAATGGTCTACCAAGTCTACCTTTGGATACAATGAAAGTATGACAGTAGTGGTCTGCAAGTCCTTTGGATACAGTAAAATTATGACAGTAGTGGTCTGCAAGTCTACCTTTGGATACATTAAGTATGACAGTAGTGGTCTGCCGTCTACCTTTGGATACGGTAAACTATGACGAAACGATCCATGAGTCCCTTTGGTTGAAGTAAAAGAAATACTTGAGCAGTAGTGGTCTGCAAGTCACGTTTAGTAAAGAATATGACAGTAGTGGTCTGAAGTCTACCTTTGGATACAGTAAACTATGACAGTAGTGGTCTGCAAGTCTACCTTTGGATGCAATAAAAGTATGACAGTAGTGGTCTGCAAGTCTACCTTTGGATACAGTAAAAATGTGACAGTAATTGGTCTGCAAGTCTGCTGGATGCAGTAAAATATGACAGTGATGTGATTCCTGCCAAGTCTACCTTTGGATACAGTAAAGTACAGTAATTCTGCAAGTCTGCTTTGGATGCAATGAGCTATGACAGTAGTGGTCTGCAAGTCTGCAACTTTGGATACAGTAAAACTGGTAGTCCACAAGTCTACCCCACTTTGGATGCAAGTAAAGTATGACAGTGGTCTGCAAGTCTACCTTTGGATACAGTAAGAAGTATGACAGTAGTGGTCTGCTGGAGTCTACCTTTTGGTTACGATAACTGGTGAAGTGGTCTGCAAGTCTACCTTTGGATACAGTAGTATGACAGTAGTGGTCTTACCAAGTCTGCAACTGGATACAGTAAAGAAATTATGACAGTAGTGGTCTGCAGTCTACCTTTGGATACAGTAAAGTATGACAGTAGTGGTCTGCAGGTCTACCTTTGGATACAGTAAGAAGTATGACAGTAGTGGTCTGCAAGTCTACCTTTGGATACAATGAAAAATGCCGACAGTATTGGTCTGCAAGTCTGCAGCACGGATACAGTAAAAACATGACAGTGATGGTCTGCAAGTCTACCTTTGGATACAGTGAAAATTATGACAGTAATTGGTCTGCAAGTCTTGCTTTGGATACAGTAAAGTATGACAGTGATGGTCTGGAAGTCTACCTTTGGATACAGTAAAGATATGACAATGGTAGATCTGCAAGTCTACCTTTGGATACAGTAAGTATGACAGTAATTGGTCTGCAGAGTCTACCTTTGGATACAGTAAAATATGACAGTAGTGGTCTGCAAGTCCACAACTGGATACAGTAAAAAGAGTATGACCAAGTAGTGGTCTGGAAGTCTACCTTTGGATACAGTAAAAAGTATGACAGTAGTGATGCCTGAGTCTGCCTTTGGATACAGTAAAAGAAATATGACTTGATGATGGTCTAGAGGAAGTCCTACCTTTAGGATGCAGTAAAGTATGACAGTAGTGGTCTGCAAGTCTACCTTTGGATACAGTAAGAATATGACAGTAGTGGTCTGCAAGTCTACCTTTGGATACAGTAAGGAAGTATGACAGTAGTGATTACGCAAGTCTACCTTTGGATACAGTAAAGTATGACAGTATTGGTCTTGAATCCTTTGGATACAGTAAATGCAGTAGTAATTCTACCAGAATGCAACTTTGGATACAGTAAAGTATGACAGCTAGTGGTCTGGAAGTCTACCTTTGGATACATTGACTATGACAGTAGTGGTCTGCAATCTGCTGGATACAGTAAGAATATGACAGTAGTGCAGTCCTTTGGATACAGTAACTCACATTATTAGTCTCAAGTCTACCTTTGGATACAGTAAACTATGACAGTAGTGGTCGCAAGTCTACCTTTGGATGCAGTAAAGTAGGCAGTGAGTCCTTTGGTCTGCAGCTGGATACATTAAAGTATGGTCTCTACCTTTGGATACCCAGTAAGTATGACCTTGGTAGTGGTCTGCCAAGTCTGCAACTTTGGATACAGTAAAACTATGACAGTAGTGATGCTGCAAGAATCTATTTGAATTACAGTAAGGCCATGACAGTGGTCTGGAAGTCTACCTTTGGATACAGTAAAGAATATGACAGTAATGGTCTGCCGATCACCTTTGGATACAGTAAACTATGACAGTGAGTGGTCTGCAAGTCTACCTTTGGATACAGTAAAGTATGACAGTAGTGGTCTGCAAGTCTACCTTTGGAATTGATGAAACTATGGCAGTAGTGGTCTGCAAGTCTACCTTTGAATTGATGAAATATGACAGTAATTGGTCTGCAAGTCTACCTTTGGATACAGTAAAGTATGACAGTAATTGGTCTGCAAGTCTACCTTTGGATGCAGTAAACTATGACAGTAAGTGGAATTCACAGTCCTTTGGATACAAGTAAACTATGACAGTAGTGGTCTGCAAGTCTTACCTTTGGATACAGTAAGAAATATGACATTGATGATCTTGGTCTTTGGATGGTAGTCTGGCATTGTTGATCATACAGAGTCTACCTTTGGATGATGAAAACCATGACAAGTGGTCATAGTCTATTTGGATACAATACAAAAGTATGACAGTGGTGATCTTCCAGTCACTTTGGATACAGTAAGAAGTATGACAGTAGTGGTCTTGCAGTCTACCTTTGGATACGAAGTAAAGAAAGCTATGACAGTAGTGGTCTGAAAGTCTACCTTTTGGATACAGTAAGTATGACAGTGGTGTTCACAGTCTGGATACAATGGTATGACAAAATTATTGGTCTGGAAGTCTACCTTTGGATACAGTAAACTGACAGTAGTGGTCTGCAAGTCTACCTTGGGTAAGTATGACAGTAGTGGTCTGCAAGTCTACTGGATTTACCAGTAAAGTATGACAGTAGTGGTCTGCAAGTCTACCTTTGGATACAGTAAGAGTATGACAGTAGTGGTCTGGAAGTCTGCAACGGATACAGTAAAGAATATGACAGTAGTCTGCAAGTCTGCATGGGATGCAGTAAAAATTATGACCCAGTAGTGGTCTGCAGAGTCTGCCTTTGGATGATAAAAAGTATGACAGTAGTGGTACAAGTCTACTGGATACAGTAAAATTATGACAGTAGTAGTGGTCTGCAAGTCTACCTTTGGATACAGTAAACTATGACAGTAGTGGTCTTGAGTCACTTTGGATACAGTAAAAAAGAGTATGACAGTGGTGGTCTGCAAGTCTACCTTTAGATGGTAGTGATATAGTCACTTTGGATACAGTAAAGTATGACAGTAGTGGTCTGCAAGTCTACCTTTGGATACAGTAAGAGTATGACAGTAGTGGTCTGCAAGTCTACCTTTGGATACTGATAAGAGTATGACAGTAATTGGTCTGCAAGTCTACCTTTGGATACTGATAAGCTGCAAGTGGTAAGTGATCTGCAAGTCTACCTTTGGATACAGTAAAGTATGACAGTAGTGGTCTGCAGTGCCACCTTTGGATTAGTAAGAATATGACAGTAGTGATTCTGGAGTCTACCTTTGGATACAGTAAACTATGACAGTAGTGGTCTGCAGAGTCTACCTTTGGATACAGTAAGTACGGTAAAGTGGTCTGCAAAGTCACCTTTGGATACAGTAAAAGTATAGGTATTAATTGGTCTGCGAGTGCAACGTTTTGTTAGGCTGATGATGGTCTGCAAGTCTGCAGCACGGATACAATCAAAGTATGACTTATTAGTGGTCTGGAGTCTACCTTTGGATACAGTAAACTATGACAGTAGTGGTCTGCAAGTCTACCTTTGGATACGTGGCTACTGACAGTAGTGGTCTGGATCTACCTTTGGATACAGTAAAGAGTACTGACGGTAGTGGTCTGCAAGTGCATACGGATGCAGTAAGTATGACGGTAATGATCTTGAGTCTACCTTTGGATACAGTAAACTATGACAGTAGTGGTCTGCAAGTCTACCTTTGAATGCAGTAATTCAGTAGTGGTCTGCAGTCTGCAACTGGGATGATAAAGTATGGGCAGTGTGATGTAGTCCATCTTTGGATACAGTAAAAATTATGACAGTAGTGGTCTGCAAGTCTACCTTTGGATACAGTAAGTAGTAGTAAGTACAGTCTGCAAGTCTACCTTTGGATACAGTGAAATATGACAGTAGTGGTCTGCAGAGTCTACCTTTGGATACAGTAAGAAATATGACAGTAGTGGTCTGCAAGTCTACCTTTGGATGATAAAGTATGACAGTAGTGGTCTGCAAGTCTGTACGGGATGCAAAAGTATGACAGTCTCTTACTGATCTAAGTAAAGTATGACAGTAGTGGTCTGGAAGTCTACCTTTGGATACAGTAAGAATATGACAGTAGTGGTCTGCGTCTACCTTTGGATACAGTAAAGAATATGACAGTAGTGGTCTGCAAGTCTACCTTTGGATACAGTAAGAAATATGACAGTAGTGGTCTGCAAGAATACGCTTTGGATACAGTAAAGTATGACAGTAGTGGTCTGAGTCTACCTTTGGATACAGTAAAGTATGACAGTAGTGGTCTACAAGTCTACCTTTGGATACAAGTAAAAATAAATATTAGTGATCAGTCTACCTTTGGATACAGTAAAAATTATGACAGTAGTGGTTAACACAGTCCACCTTTGGATACAGTAAAGTATGACAGTAGTGGTCTGATCACCTTTGGATACAAGTAGTAACGTCTAAGTACGTGGTCTGCAGTCACTGGATGATGAAATTATGACCCAGTAGTGGTGCAGTGCATTTGGATACAGTAAAGAGTATGACAGTAGTGGTCTGAGTCACCTTTGGATGCAGTAAAAATATGACAGTAGTGATTCTGAGTCTACCTTTGGATACAGTAAACTATGACAGTAGTGATTCTGCAAGTCTACCTTTGGATACAGTAAAATTATGACAGTAGTGGTCTGCAAGTCTACCTTTGGATACAGTAAAGAGAATATGACAGTATGTGGTCTGCAAGTCTACCTTTGGATACAATAGAAATATGACTTATTAGTGATTAGGTCTGGATCCGGTAAGTATGACTAGTGGTAGATCTGCAAGTCTACCTTTGGATACAGTAAAATGTGACAGTGATGGTCTGCAAGTCTACCTTTGGATACAATTAAGTATGATAGTAAGTGCTGAGTCTACCTTTGGATTGATAAAAACTATAATGGTCTACAGTCCTTTGGATGCAATAAAGTATGACAGTAGTGGTCTGCAAGTCTACATTACGGATACAGTAAAGAATGTGACAGTAGTGGTCTGCAAGTCTACTTTTGGATACAGTAAAGAAGTATGACCCCAGTAGTAGTCTGCAAGTCTACCTTTGGATACAGTAAACTATGACAGTAGTGGTCTATGATCTACCTTTGGATACAGTAAGTACGATAAGTGGTCTGCAAGTCTACCTTTGGATACAGTAAAGAATATGACAGTAGTGGTCTGCCAAGTCTACCTTTGGATACAGTAAAAGTATGACAGTAGTGGTCTGCAAGTCTGCTGGATACAGTAAACTATGACAGTAATTGGTCTGCAAGTCTACCTTTGGATACAGTAAAGAGTGACGGTAGTGGTCTGCAAGTCTACCTTTGGATACAGTAAAATTATGACAGTAGTGGTCTGCAAGTCTACCCTTTGGATAAATGAAATATGACAGTAGTGGTCTGCAGACCCATTTGGATACAGTAAACTATGACAGTAGTGGTCTGCAAGTCTACCTTTGGGTACATTAAAGTATGACAGTAGTGGTCTGCAAGTCTACCTTTGGATACAGTAAGAATATGACAGTAGTGATGCAGTCTGATTTGATAAAATGTATTGATACAAGTGATCAAAGTCTAAACCTGCTGACAGTAGTGGTCTGCAAGTCTACCTTTGGATACAGTAAAGAAAGTATGACAGTAATGATGAGTGCAGTACTACCTTTGGATACAGTAAGAAATTATGACAGTAGTGGTCTGCAAATTATTTGGATACAGTAAAAGAGATGACAGTAGTGGTCTGCAGAGTCCTGCAACTGGATACAGTAAGAGTATGCCTTGACAATGGTCTGCAAGTCTACCGCTGGATACAGTAAACTATGACAGTAGTGGTCTGCAAGTCTACCTTTGGATACAGTAAGAGGTAGGTAGTAGTGGTCTGCAAGAATCTGTACACGTTACAGTATGACAGTAGTGGTCTGCAAGTCTACCTTTGGATACAGTAAACACCATAGGCGTGGTGGTCTGCAGTCTACCTTTGGATACAAGTAAGAGTATGACAGTGACGGTCTGCAAGTCTACCTTTGGATGCAAGTAAGCTTCATGACAGTAGTGGTCTGCGAGTCCACTTTGGATATATTCAACTATGACAGTAGTGGTCTGAAGTCTACCTTTTAAGATGCAGTAAAGAAGTATATTATTAGTGGTCTGCAAGTCTACCTTTGGATACAGTAAACTATGACAGTAGTGGTCTGCAGAATTCTATTTGGATACAAAAATGTGGTCTGCAAGTCTATCTTTGGATGAAGTAGAATATGAGCAGTAGTGGTCTGCAAGTCTACCTTTTGGATCTGATAAAAATTATGACAGTAGTGGTCTGCAGGTCTACCTTTGGATACAGTAAAGAAATTATGACCTTGGTAATTATTTAGTCCTTTGGATGGTAAGAATATGACTGTAAATTATACGATCCTTTGGATACATTGGCTAGGCAGTATTAGTGGTCTGCAGAGTCTACCTTTGGATACAGTAAAGTATGACGGTAATTGGTCTGGAAGTCTACCTTTGGATACAGTGGCTATGAAGTGGTCTGCAAGTCTGCAACTTTGGATACAGTAAGTATGACAGTAGTGGTCTGCAAGTCCACCTTTGGAACCACGTGAAATTATGGCAGTGGTCTACAAGTCTACCTTTGGATACAGTAAGTGTAAGTAGTGGTCTGCCAGTCGCTGGATAAAAGTAAAATCTGATAGTGGTCTGCAATTCTACCTTTGGATTTGATAGTATGACAGTAGTGGTCACCAAGTCTACCTTTGGATACAGTAAATTATGACAGTAGTGGTCTGCAAGTCTACCTTTGGATACAGTAAGAAGTATGACAGTAGTGGTCTGCAGTCTACCTTTGGATACAGTGAAAAACTACTGACAGTAGTGAATCTCTGCAGTCTACAACTTTGGATACAAAGTATGGGCGTGAAAGTGGTCTGCAAGTCTGCCTTTGGATGAAACCTTGAAGCAGTGATAGTGCAAGTCTGCCTTTGGATGTTGATGAAGCTATGACAGTAGTGGTCTGCAAGTCTACCTTTGGATGCAGTAAAGTATATGACAGTAGTGGTCCTGGAAGTCTACCTTTGGATACATTAGCTATGACCCAGTGATGATTGCAGAGTCTACCTTTGGATACAGTAAAGTATGACAGTATTGGTCTGCAAGTCTTTACCTTTGGATACAGTAGTACGATGCAGTCTGCAGTCTGCACTTTTGGGATACAGTAAAAGAGTATGACAGTATGACGTTACTAGTCTATTTGGATACAAAAAATTATGACAGGTACAGTAGTGGTCTGCAAGTAAAAATTATGACAGTACAGTAGTGGTCTGCAAGTTTTGTCTCTTGAATTTTTGAATATTTTGAATATTAAAAAGAACAAAAGCACTGTTCATGTTGGTGAATCCAAAAATTATGTATGATTTACTGCTGGTCGAACAGTGTTTATTAATGGAAGAATGAGGTGTTGTGAATTAGATCTTCATATTGTTAATATTAATGAAGGATATTTTGAAAAAGTGAACAGTAAGTTTGAATTAATATTAATGAAGAGCTGTACTATTGTAATTATGGATTTCTTTGTCAGAGTTCAGTGAGGCCCAGGAGTGGGTGTCAACTCAACTTCACTTCAACTTGAACCAAGATGTCAACCTGTTTGAGACCACCATTCGGGTGTTGGGTGGTCTACTCTCCACTTATCACCTCACCAAGGAACAAATTTTCCTAGATAAAGCTGTAAGTTACAAATGATATATGGATTAGACTTATAGTGTAAATTTCAAATCTTGATTCATTTTACTGTGTTTGTACACTACAGTACTCTACTGATGTCCAGTATGTAATGGTTCAGACTTGTTCATTACTTCACCACCCATCTTACTCTGGCAGTTTGTCATACATTTACAATATTGTATTTCATTATTCTGTGTAGTACAGCTAACACCCAGGTACTGTATGTAGGTACAATCTGCACAGTTTGTTCCCACTTCATATTTAGTTCAGCCACGTTTTGATATTGGGCTTCCTTTTAGTGTATGCGATGTATGATAAAAGCAGATTAGTTAACCCTCAAGTTATGGAAGCTCGAGTAATGGTAATTTGTATTAACATTATCTGAAAAGTACTGAATGAGTTTTGAGTGCAGGAAGAAATATCCACATTACTGGAAGGTTTTTGGAAGTTCTAGAGTTAAAAGGGAGTTTTATAAATTTTGACAGTATCCAATATTTCATTAGACACAAAATGAAATACTGTACTATACAGACAGTGCCGGTAAATAAAAACATTAACATCATCGTTATCATCAACATTTTACGGCCATATTTTCACTTGCATGGGCTGTTGATTGCCTCACACTGTTCTCTTGCAGCCTCTTTCATTAGGTTCTTATTTTTTGAAACCATTTTTCACAACTTCTCCATGTCATTCATGGTGTACCTGGTTCTCCTCCCTCCCCATTCCAACTCATGCATCTTAACCCAATTTTTCTTCTTCTGTGTCTCTCCACTTGCCCTAAAACTACCTTTGCCTACCTCTACACAAAACCTTACTAATACTCTCAATGCCTGTTGGATGAGATGACTGTGTGCTAAGAGAGAGTGTAAACTTCTGTGTTACATGTAACACCTCCCCCCTTACAAGAGGGTGGTGTTGTAGTAGATTAGAAGAGCTCTCAATTTGGAATTTAGTAATTGGTTAAGTCAGAACACTTTTGGTGTTCTGATATTAATCTGAGTTGGTAGAAACGCCAATTTGATGCACTCGTGTAAAATTAAGGTTAACTTCAGCACCTGGACTATTTGGTTCCATCTAATCCTTCATTCTGGATGGCTTCAAATTCTTGAGCTGCCTACTGACAGGCAGCTGCCATAATAAATTGATTCTAAAATCCTAATATTTAGCTGAGCTCAAAACTAAGTGGCTCAACTCCCACTGTCCCTCCTCCCATAGGAAAATGTGAAAGGCTACTGGGACTGAAAGATCACTGCTTGGAAAACCAAGATGGCTACCCTGAACTTAACATGCTCCTTCAGCCTCTTATCTTAAATGATCAATAGTTGCAATAGAGAGGAATACTAATTGATTAGATTAGTTGCAGCCACTAATGTTCATATTTCTGTGTCCTGGGTCTGGCCTATGGCTTAGCATGTACCGTGAGAAAATGAAGTATCTTTCTACCTTTGGCTGATGTATAATGAAACCTGACTACCCATCAGAGTGAATGGTGTCACTGGCAACCCCTTTCCAAGGTTCCATAGGCCAGCCAACTGTTTATGGACTTCACACAAGCGCCTGCCGAATAGCTCAACCATTCTGCGATGTATTCATCAAAACCCCAGCAAGGTTCTTCATTCTCTCACTGTATATTACACTCAGAGTGTTATGTTCCTGACGCTGGCATAAAATGGATTTTCAGGATCAGTTCTTATTCGTGAGAATCACATTTATATTTTGTAATTTACATAACTGTCTTTCAGGTAGACCTGGGAGATCGACTGGTTGCTGGATTCAACAGTGGTTCAGATTGTGCCTTATGCTGATGTTAATCTTTACTCTCGGAGAGCCTCCAAACCCAAGTGGGGGCCAGACTCTTCGACTTCAGAAGTCACAACTATTCAGTTAGAGTTCCGTGATCTGTCTCGTGTCACAGGGAATCCATTGTATGAGGTGAGAATACAATAGATGCCTACCTTGATACAATCCCAATATATTTTAGGGAAAAAAGAAAAATATCTACAGTACAATGAAAAACAATTTCTTACCTTATATGCATCCAGTACAAAAAATAAAGCAATCCTCTATTGCTTCATTGACGCTAAAAGGAATTACCAAGTATAATATCTTTATTATTGCACCCTATGCTGGCCAACTAGTTCCAGCCTAGGTACTTGACTCTCCCCAGTAGACTACATTGTCTGGTCAGGTCTGTAGAAGTGCACAATAAATCTTACGTTTTCCAATCAAAACTACAAAATGGAATTGTTAGCCTCAATTTCAATTTTGAATAGACTTTTGTCTTGTTTGTCAAAAAATGTAGCTTATTTTAAAAACAGGAAAATATATTCTAAATTTTGTTCCTGAATATTTTTGCTTATTATTTATATGTTATATGAATAAAGGATACATATATAGTACTGTACAATAACCCTTCACCATCCAAGGGTTTACCAACTGTAAGTTTCAGTAGCCACATTTTATATTATGCTGTAATCAGACATATCTAGTTGCCTCAACAATTGCAACCCCAGTTGCAATTGGGGTTGCAATTTCAAATTCTGTGGCATTACTAAAAATAACTAAGTCTCTGGTGCACTCTAAGATTAAGAGAGAAAACGGAGGACTCAGGCGTCTGATGTGAAAACGGACTCGTATGATGGAGGACCAAATAAAAAGCATAGCTACATGTTTTGTGGGCTACAGTAAAAGCGTACCCTTTTCATCACTTTGTAATAAACCTAGCAGCACTATTATTATTTTATGATATAACCATACTATATATATATATTTAGTGGGTATAAATAATTAGTAAAATAGGAAACTTGGGGTTGGGTCTTGGGTGCCTGGAACCAATTTGAATAAATCCATAGGTTCTGTACTTTCGTTATCGGCGGGGATCCCAATTAGGCGCTATAACCAAGGGATGACTGTACTGTGCTGTATACTTGTGACACTGGCAGTTGCTTCTGGTGTTATGGTACAGAGTTGCAAGTGACAGCACTAGGGTCCGCTTCCTCTATCAAGGAATAAACAATTAAAATTTAAATTGAAAAAAAATACATTCAAATAATGGAACCTAGCGAACCTAAATGGCCCTAGAGCTGGCACAGTCACGTATGCATCGCGTATTCTTATAGATTGTGCTGCCAGGCGTACGTTATCTAGTGAATTTAGTCAATATTGTCTTTCCTTGTGGTTATCATCACATATATATATATATATATATATATATATATATATATATATATATATATATATATATATATATATATATATATATATATATATATATATATATATATATATATATATATATATATATATATATATATATATATATATATATATATATATATATATATATATATATATATATATATATATATATACATACAGTTGTACCCCACTTAACGCGGTCAATTGAACCCAGAGGGTCCCGCGTTAAGTGAAAACCGCGTTAAGTGAATAACAGAAGATATGGGATTAATTCCAATAGAACCCAGCCCGACCCCCAAACTCCACTTTTTGACGACAAATAACTATGTTGTAGTAAAAATAACATCTTAATTTTATGATGGTACATGCACACAATTAATACTTAAGAGAAATAGAGAAATACAGTCGCCAAGTTAATGTCCATTCAAATAATGGACTCAACTCCCTCCCCCTCTTCTCACACTACACTCACTGGCTCTTCCCTCTGAGAAATTTTTGGGGGAAAACCAGGTATAGTAATAAATAATTCCTCAAACTAAAGTTAGGATAATATAATTGACATTGCTGGATTCCTTGTAAGACCAGGAATATTTTGAATATAAATGTCATATATTTTTCACAAAAGATAACATAATTACCTAGAAAACAATTTTTATCTAAAAATTGTATGTTTAATGCAAAATATATGTTGTTTATATTCAAAATGATCACCAAATTATAAGAATTCCAGCAATGTAAATTATATTCTGGCCGGATAATTTGTATGAATTTTATGAGCTAAAACAAATATCTACAGTTAATAAAAAAAAAAAATATTCTTCAACACTATCTGTCAATCAAAGTACCCCACCTTGCCTCCCCCCCTCTTCCAACCGCGCGGTCAGTCCCAACCCTCCCCCCACCCCCCACCAATCCTCCATTCAAGAGTTTTTAACATTTAGTATTAAATAATACCTCAGATTAAAGTTAGGATAATATAATTGACATTGCTGGATTCCTTGTAAGACCAGGAATATTTTGAATATAAATGTCATATATTTTGGACAAAAGATAACATAATTACCTAGAGAACAATTTTTATCTAAAAATTGTATGTTTAATGCAAAATATATGTTGTTTATATTCAAAATGATCACCAAATTATAAGAATTCCAGCAATGTAAATTATATTCTGACCGGTAATTTGTATGAATTTTATGAGCTAAAACAAATATCTTCAGTTAAAAAAAAAAATAATTCTTCACCGGGTAACAGATGGTCGGTCGGTCGGTCGGTCCCTCCCTCCCCCCCACCCCCCACCCCCCACCAACCGTCCCAAGGAGATGTGTGGGATAACCACTAAATTTTAATAAATAATACCTCAAACTAAAGTTAGGATAATATAATTGACATTGCTGGATTCCTTGTAAGACCAGGAATATTTTGAATATAAATGTCATATATTTTGGACAAAAGATAACATAATTACCTAGAGAACAATTTTTATCTAAAAATTGTATGTTTAATGCAAAATATATGTTGTTTATATTCAAAATGATCACCAAATTATAAGAATTCCAGCAATGTAAATTATATTCTGGCTGGGTAATTTGTATGAATTTTATGAGCTAAAACAGGCAGTCAGGCAGGGTGGGGGGTGGTGCGAATCTAAAAATAGCTCTCGAGCCGGACACTCACCGCGTTGCTGTGGAAAAATCCGCGTTAAGTGAAAGTTCAGCTTTGGCAAGGCACCGCGTATATGCGAAAACGCGTTAAGTGAAAGCGCGTTAAGCGGGGTAATACTGTATATAGTATATATAATATATATATATATATAATATATATATATATAATATATATATATATATATAATATATATATATATATATAATATATATATAGTATATATAATATATATATATATATATATATATAATATATATATATATAATATATATATATATATATATATATATATATATATATATATATATATATATACATATCTGTATATATATATCTATACATATCTATATATCTATACATATCTATATATATATATCTATACATATCTATATATATATCTATACATATCTATATATATATATCCCATTGTTCCAATGGGATTTTGGTAATGTTTCCAGCTCACAGAAAATTACATACAAAGTAAAAATATATGCAGTAAAGTACACTTACTTTGAGGTGTGTATGTAGAGACTCTAGTTGATGATGATGATGGGGTAAGTGGGGGGTGGAAGAGAATCACTCTATGCCATTTCACCCAAAAATTTTAGTTCACTTGGTGTAATTCAAGATTATTTTCTTTAAATCAACACTGCACTGCATTATATATTGTCAATATGTAAATAAACTTCAGAATGACCAATACAGTAATTGTACTGTAAAACGTAAAATAGTATATGTTCAAGGAGTCTCAAGCAGGAGCTTCCTCCACTGAGCAGGGACACACACTGAAGCCATTTGGGTGAGTCAAGTGGCCTGTTGCTACACTAAAACTAGTTCCTTGTACTTCAATTATGTTAAATAATTGTTAAAATGACTAAAAACTTTAATATAAGACTTGGAAAATTATTGAATAGTACAACCTTCTTGATATTTACTCAAAATTGTAGCGAATTTAAGCCCTAAAACCGATTACTGTATTAGGACTAACACTACAGCTGGTGAGCGGCAAAAGCAGGTAAAATCATGTTGGGAAAAATTAAGTAAGTCGTTAACCAAAATTTTTTACGTTAGCGAAGTGAAGAATCTTATGGAAGGTATTTGGTTTACCGAAATTTGTTAACCGATTCGTTAACGAGGATCACTGTCTGATATATTATTTTATGTCAATGTAAACTATTCTGAACTTGGTTAATTTTGTATTTTCAGTAATTGGAGGACCCAGAGGCCCCCCCCCTTTGTTGAATTAACGAGGTATAATATATTTATTATTATTACAGCATTATTATTATTAAAGTAAATTTGTTCTTTCAGGACAAAGTTAATTTTAGAGAGTGAACACATCCACAAACTGCCTAAGACTGAGGGTCTGGTCCAATATTCATCAATGCTCAGACAGGACAGTGGCGCCTCACTCTACCATCACCTTGGGGGCACGAGAGACTCCTACTATGAATACCTGCTACAGTGGATCCAAACTGGCCGAACCAAAGATTAGTAAGTGACTTTTAAGGTGTATGACAAATTAAAGGTAAAGCATAAAATTTAGTTTGTTTAGAGAGATGTGATGTAATGGAAAGGAAAGACAGTGTGAAGATATGAAAATTATGTACTTGTACTGAACTGTTGGAACCAACTTCAGTATCACAGATTTTATCAGGAACAGAATACCTCAGTATAATATGGAGGTACATTATTTATGAGTGTAGGCCCCAGGGATATGGCCTCAAAAATTTTTGCTTACAGAATTCACCTAGAAAGGTTGGCTCTTTGAATAGGAGTCCTGCTGTTTAATTGTAATGAGAGTAGTGATGAAAAACAAAATAATTTCTGCTGCACTTACCAATATGTGTAGGCGAGTGCTGTTCTTTTGTGCATTCATGTGCACATGATTATATACAGTATAGTCTGGGTTTACGCGATATTTTTATACGCGACAATATTTACGCCGTACTTTCCAATTTATAAGCGCGCAAGGTGCTGGGCGCTGACGCCACCGCTAACGCCAGACTCGCGTCGATGACGCCGCGGACTGTGATTGGCCCATATCCTTACCACCCACGCACCTCTCTGCCGCCATGATTGGTCTATTTAACCTTGTGTGCACCTGCCACCAGGGCTGATAACCTTGGCCTATCTGACTTCATTGTCCCCGCGTGATGCCTCACCGTGCCCAGGAACCTGTTTTGTTTTATTGTTTCTACACAATGGCTCCCGCTGGACCCCCACCACCCCTGAGAAACCTTGAACTACCTAGCTCGAGCTGTAATGATTGTTTATTAGACCACAGCTTACAGCCCAGCGACATAACACATAACAGTGAGTACTGTACATGCCTCGGGATAAACCACATACAGTTGACACACCCTGGGTCAGGACCCAGGACCTGACCCCGCCACTAAGTACTTGACCGAGGGCATGACCTACATCCACACCTTGGTAAAGGTCAATCACGGGCTGGTTCTTCCCCATAAAGGCCCTGCAGTCCCGGCCCACAGGCCAGTCTAGCTGTCACAGTCATTCCCAATTCATATTCAGACAACTTTCACAACACTATTCACGGAAGACGGAGTCACGCCATCATTAGTCGAGGTGAGGAAACTCCTCCCCTGCACCCAGAGTCCAACACTGTCTTCAACAGCACTGCTGGGCCTCCCACAGGTCACAAGTGAGTCTTTGTCAGAGCTATGCATAGGGTGAATTATTTACGTTGGAAGAGTATTCATTTCATGTTTGTTTCATGAAGTGTGTCTAGGAACGAAATATGATGTTCGAAAGTAATGTGTCCATGCCAAGTATGTGCTAGTAACTGATATAATTTTCATTAATGTGCCTGTCATATTGAGCGAATAATAAATAGCAGTATTGAAAGAGGTGTTTATACGATGTCCCTTAAGAACGAATATATGTGAATTACTAACCGCCACGCTACCAAACTTCCTGTCTTTACATCCTACAACATTCTATTCTATCTATACTTTCTACTGAAACCCCCCTCTCATTACAAAGCCACCCAAGCGCAGGAAGGTGTGCGACGCTGCCTTAAGCTATGAGGTTAAGTACAAGATCTCCAGGAGTTAGAAAGGCACGGTCAGAGGGATCTGGCCAGACAATATGGAGTGAATGAATCGGGACGATCCGCACGATCAAGAAGGATGCCGCAAGATCAAAGAACACATGAGCATTACAAAGTCTGAAGGTGCCTCGCTGGTGAAATACTGCCACAATAAGGTGCTGCTGAAGATCGAGGGTTTGTTGGTAAGCTACATTATTCGTCAGTCAAGAAGGAACATGGGAGTAACACTGGCAGTGCAGGACTACGCCGAGAACTCTACAAATCAATGGCAATAAAATGGGAGTTGCAGAGCCCGGGTTCTGCTTCCGCTGTGGCTGAAAGGTTTAAAAGACGAAAAGGTCACCAATATTGAGATAGTCGGAGAAGGAGCAAGTGCCGATCGGCTGCCGGCATGAATTTTCCTCCCATTTCCGGAAAATTATGGAGGAAGTACAGTACACCGACGCACAGCTGTTCAATATGGATGAATCAGGGTTGTACTGGAAAAAATTGCCATCCAAGACCTTCTCGAGTTGAGTCTGCGAAGCAAGTGTCGGGGCAAAATGCAGAAGGAGCGATCACCGTGACTGTTCACCACCAATGCCCGGCACTGCTGTTGAAGTTGTCTGTCATCCACAAAGTCTGCAAGCCGCATTCATACAAGAATATGGGCATGAGCAAGTTAAATGTCCACTGGCTAGCCTCAGGGAAGAGTGGATATTCTCTGGTCTGCCCTCTCCTGGTTTGATAACTGTCTTGTTCCTGATGTCAAGAAATTCTGCCGCAAAATAATGCCATTCAACATTTGTTGCTCCTCAGCAACGCACTAGACACTCTCGCCTATTGCTGATCGCTCCCAACGAACGTGGTCTTCCTTCCCTAACACTACGTCGTTAATCCAGCCCATGGTTCAGGAGTTGATTTGCAACGGAAGGCTGCTTTCTCCACCAAGAAGTTTTGGCTCCTGAACGATCACCAACACCAAGGATGAATTGCAGAACTACAGAGTGGCACCGGATAGAGCGAGGACGAGGATCACGAACAAGATTTAGCTGACCATGAAGTGCGAGTCAAGCAGTTATGGAAACTGTTTAACGGAAGAAAGCTGTTGATTTCTTGGTGGAGGCATGGGGCAGCTATCTGTGGCAACGATTCGTCACAGGTGGCGTCAAGTGTTGGAGGTATCCCAGGTGGGAGGCGAGGCAAGTGGTGGCTGGAGAGGCTCAGTCTGTTGCTGTGGCATTGGAGAATGCAGAGGCTGCACAAAGTGTTAGAGCTGCAGGCTTCTCCGAGACCACATGAGGACATCTGGAGGTAATCAGCAACCTGAGGTGACTCTGGACGAGATGTTGGAAGATGATGGCGTCATTGAGCAGCCAGGTGTTACAAGAGAACAAGAGCGAAACTAACACATGCTGATGTGAAGGAAATCATCGAGGCAGCTGAGATTGAGCTCCTCCTTAAGACCCAGTCAAAGCATAGCTACAAGTGTCTAATAACCATCAGTTGCAATCCTGGAGCCCTATGTTAAGCTGTATCCTGACCACATCAATGCTGGCAGTCCAACAAAACATTACAGGTTCTTCACCCCGCCACCTACAGCCAGCCCAAGTCACAGTGATAGTGAGGATGGACTTTGAGGGTTTGACAGAGCCCTGCAAGCCTCTGTGGTGGATAGAGATACAAGTGATACAGTGAGGACCAATAATCTGCCCTCTGCCTCGGAAAACCCCCCCCCATCCCGTGTGCCCAGCCATCTCTTCTACTAATGTAAGTGTTAAAAACCGAATATTATTGATGCAGTCATCGCCAGTTAACGTCCTAGATACATTCTTGAAACATGGCGTTAACGAAATGGATGTTGTCGATCATAACATAAACATTGTATTTATACTTACGTGTTTGTGGAATACTATATCCTTACATATACACTCTTACTCTTAAATCACTTCTGTAATGTGATACAGGTGATTAATTTTATCTCTTGTGCAAAATATGACATTTATATTCAAATTATTAAGCTGTCTTACAAAGTTCAGCAATGCAAATTATATTCTCTAACTTTAGTCTGTGATATTATATACAGGTAGTTCTGCTACTCTTAGCGATAATTGTGTTCTTGTAAAATATACGTGTTATAGAAAATCGCGTAATAGAAATAACAGGGCTTATGGAGAAAATAGGGTTAGGTGCAGATTACTAAAATCGAAAAAATTTAGTAGTTAGCCTAACACAAAGAGATAGCACAGTCTAAATAAATGTTACATTCATATCTAATAATGAAATCATACAGTAAATTTAACACTTTACATCGAAAAAATATGAATGTAACTTGATGGGGGAGAAGGGTGATTTGAGGTTGATAACATCGAGCTTCTCTTCAAGTGTTATATCCTTTCTTTTCGATAATCACGGAATTCTATCATCAGAACGCTTTTGGAATATTCTTCTTTACCATATTCACAGTTAATACCACAAAATTGGAGAAATATTAAGCAAAAATCGCGTTATAGCAAACAAAGCGTTAAGCGTTATACAAATATTGTTCGAATTCATAAATGCGTTAGAGCAAATTGCGTTATCAAAACAGCGTTATAGCAGAACTCACTGTAAGATAAAACTGTAAGCCTAAAACCTGGCTGGGCAGATGGGGAAAGGGAGGGGGCGGCGAGGAGCTTGGGGGAGGGACGGGAGGTGGTGGTACGTTTGACAGTTGGGGCCCAAGGTCTAACGTGTGTTTATTTATCAGTCCTTAAGTGACTAAGCTCTCTTATAAAATGCCAGTGAAATAACCTGGGAGAATATAATTTACATTGCTGGGATTCTTGTAAGATAGTGGTTAATTTGAATATAAACAACCTATAATTTGCACTAGACATAACAATTTTAGTACCGTAATCAATTTAGTACATGTACACTCCAGCTTTGCACTAAGGTCATTTATTTCTTTTTCGTTTCTTTTAGTATGGTGTGTGCCTGTAAATGAATGAAAATAAATGAAGTGGTCCTTGTTAACCGAGGACCACTGTATACAATGTACAATATTGACTAAATTCACTGATAACGTACACAACTAATGAAACACAGAGGTTAGAAAGGCTAATAAAATAACATAATGTCTATGCGATGCTTACTTGATGCTGCGTGACTCGCCTGCTCTAAGGCCACTTCGTTTCGATGTCCCTTATTTGAATGGGTTTTTCAAATATTTTTCATGGGGCGTGGGCGTATATCGTGTTATTTTACTACAACGTCACGTATTGTGTCGGAAGGGTAGTCTGGGGGTTGGCCAGTCTCTATTTCAATTAATCATATGTTCTGTTATTTCGTTTACGTTTCGTTTCAGCGGACTTCCCGGGTTTAATTGACCCACGTAAACTGACTACTTATTATACTGTGTATACAGTATATATATATATATATATATATATATATATATATATATATATATATATATATATATATATATATATATATATATATATATATATATATATATATATATATATATATATATATATATATATATATATATATATATATATATATATATATATATATATATATATATATATATCTTGATAAAATCACAAGGGAAGATAGAAAAAGCAGTGCACTAGCTTTAGTCTTTATTCAAGACATCTTCAAGGGCAACTGATATGGACAGAGGCAATATCAGGACAAAATAACTATCATACATCTGAAGGTTGATAAGAACAAACTAATGTTCAAAACGATAATGAAATATATAAATAAAAACAACCTTATCTAATAAAAAAAAAAAAAAAAAAAAAAAAAAAAAAAAAAAAAAAAAAAACACACCCACACCAACACAAAACAACATATATATATATATATATATATATATATATATATATATATATATATATATATATATATATATATATATATATATATATATATATATATATATATATATATATATATATATATATATATATATATATATATATATATATATAATTTATTTATTTTATTTTCTCAGTTTGAGAGATGACTACAATGAAAGTGTATCTGGGATGGAGCACCACTTAGCAGGAAGGACAGAACCCAGTAATCTGCTTTTCTTTGGAGAACTTCATGGCAGTAGCAAAAACTTTGTCAACAAGATGGATGAGCTGACCTGTTACCTGCCAGGAACTCTTGCACTTGGTGTTCATTATGGAATGCCAAAACACCACATGAAGTTAGCAGAACAACTGATGTACACTTGTACTCTAACATGGCTTCGCCAACCCACCAATCTTGCTCCAGAAATTACTTATTTCAACACACAGGTACTGTATCATGCAAGTTTAGAGGTTGTTTATTGTTCCTGATGGAATTGGCATTCTTCAGAAGCAATAGTATACTTAAAATGTGAAATTTAAGTTGACTTTTTTCAAAAAAAATTTATCGTGTGTAAAGCCTTTGTTGTAAACTGAGTGGGATCCATTCATTCTGTAAAACCATTAAATTAAGCAAAAGAGGAAGTCAAGATTTAGATATACAGTAATAGTATGGAGAACATTGCTCTTGCTCTTAAGGCTCATTTACTTAAAAGAAAATGCTTATAAGTAAGTTAAATTTTAAGTCTACTTAAAAATGAGTCTTATCCAATGACCCTTATTATTGTTGTGGTCAACCCTTTAGAGGGCAGCAGTGCAACTTGGAATGTTATTCAAATTAATGCCCGACAATTTTATTCAGCTGAGAGAAACCCTTGCCACTCCTCGACTTATGATGGGGTTAGGGACCCAAATCCAGGTCGTAAAGTTGAATTGGTCGTAAGTCGAAAATGCGAAGATACAGTGATCCCTCGGTTAACGAGCGCCTCGGTTAACGAATTACCTTCCATAAGATTCTTCACTTCGGTTAACGAGCAATCCCTCGATTAATGAATTCCTTCTACG